GGGTTTCACCGTGTTAGCCAGGATGGTCTCGATCTCCTAACCTCGTGATCCACCCGTCTCGGCCTCCCAAAGTGCTGGGATTACAGGCTTGAGCCACCGCCCGGCCTACCTTGTTCTTAAGATTGGAAAAACCATTTAAAATACCCATATCAATGAAACTTGCAAATTATGAACATCCGTAGAACAGAATTCTGTGCAACTGTACAAAGCGAGAGGTTCTGGGGAGCCCCACCCCACGGCCCAGGCCCCCACTAGTTCACCGCTTGTGAGGCTCTCCAGCCGTCTGTAATTGCCTGCTCCAGCTCTTCCCAGGTGACCATGGTGACTTCTTCTGCACCAGGAACCAAACTCAGCTTCCGGCTGACTAGTTCCTGACAGTGACAGACAAGACACACACACATACACCCCTCGATTAATCCCAAGAAGCTTTAGGGACAGACTTGGTCTAACAGGATCTGGGTGGATCCTTCCCAGCCCCAGCCCCAGGCCCAAGGAGAATTCATCACCCTTCAAGTGACCAGTGAAGGTCGGGAAGACAGTCCTCTGTTCCATGTGAGCACCCGTAGAGCGCTGGGCAGGGATGAGACAGATTCCCCTCCAACCCAGGGGCAGAGACTTGAGAGGCAGAAGGCACACACTGCCTGCCCTGGATGGACAAGCCCTGGAAAGAGGGCCACGCTGAGAGAGGGCCAGCCCCCTGGAGAGCCCCTTCCCATGGAACTGGCTGGTATTACCAGGAATTGTTCCCGATCTTTGAGTAGCTTCTCTAGTTCATCAACCCGCTGTAGAATTACCTAGAAGAAGAGTTCAGGAAAGGAGAATGACAGCGGCCCCTACCCATGCACACTCACATGTGCACACACACACTCTCACACTCACTCACACACACACGCATACTCGCACACACAGTGACTCAGTGCCAGGAGACAAGGAAAGGGGGAATGCGTGTGGCTCTTATGGAAAGGGAGGGTTTCTTCTACTTGAGTTTTTTGGGGGTTTTTTTGGTTTCCTTTTTTTTTTTTTGAGACAGGGTCTCGCTCTGTCACCCAGGCTGCAGTGCAATGGTGCCACCACAGCTCACTGCAGCCTTGACCTCTCAGGCTCAAGCAATCCTCCCACCTCAGCCTCCTGAGTAGCTGGTACTTCAGGCATGCACCACCACATCCAGCTAATTTTAAACACTTGTTTGTAGAGATAAGATCTTGCCATGTTGCCCAAGCTGGTCTCGAACTCCTGGGTCCAAGCAATCCTCCAGCCTCGGCCTCCCACAGTGCTGGGATTACAGGCAGGAGCCCCTGCCTTCTACCTGGTTTTTACCTGGCCAGTCAGCCCAGGCTCCTGGGTCTTTTCCCAGCCAAGTGCAGGAAGGGAAGTGAGATACAGTGGGGGGCCTGGCTGGTAGCACAGTAAGAGTAAGTGCTGCTGCAGGGATGGGATCCTCTGGTCCTGGGATTCAGTTTGCTCCAATCCACTCATGAAAGCCTGTAGGATGAGGCCCACTTGCCTTGCAGGTGGTGCCAGGTACCTCAACAGTAGCTGAACATGGGTGCTGTCTAAAGAGAAAAGCACCTCAAAAGAACCAAAGCAAATCGCTACAACATAAGGTGCTTACTATCATATTTGGGGTTAAGAAAGAATATATTAATAAAAATAAAACTTTATAACTTTTGCAAACTTGTAGAATCTAAGATTAGCTAAAAATTAAAAGGCCAGGAGCAGCGGCTCTTGCCTGTAATCCCAACACTTTGGGAGGCCGAGGCAGGAGGATCACTTTAGGTCAGGAGTTCGAGACCAGCCTGGCCAACATGGTAAAACCCCATCTCTACTAAAAGTACAAAAATTAGCTGGGTGTGGTGGTATGCACCTATAATCCTAGCTACTAGGGAGACTGAGGCAGGAGAATTCCTTGAACCCAGGAGATGGAGTTGCAGTGAGCCAACAACACGCCACTGGACTCCATCTGGGTGACAGAGTGAGACTGTCTCAAAAAGAAAAAGAAAAAGAAAACAAAAAAAAACCCTACCACACTTTAAAGTTTGAAAAGGAAAGCAAACTTGCTTCCCAGAGCAAAAGTGAATTGGTGCTGGGGTCTCGAGACCTGGGGTGATATGGCAGGAGGGCATGAGCGGCCAGGGCTCCCCTGCTGGGGCTTGGCCTCTTCCTCCTGCCTCTTCCCAGCCTCTTTTGCCCCTCCTGTCTCTTGGCCTCCCTGTCCAGCTGCCTTCCTAGTTGCTTCTGCTTTTTCTTTCAGGACCAACCTAAGGTGGCTCTGAGACGTGCACGTGTCTATTACCTCCCGGCGCTGACCTGCGTTGCTTCCTGCTATTCACTGGATAATACTTGTGCTCAATGATTATATGCACTTGTCCCTCCAAGAAAACAAAAGTCCAGTTGAAAGTAGGGCTCAGTGGCTCATGCCTGTAATCCCAGCACTTTGGGAGGCCAAGGCGGGCAGATCACTTGAGGTCAGGAGTTTGAGACCAGCCCGGCCAACATGGTGAAACCCCATCTCTACTAAAACTACAAAAATTAGCCGGGCATGGTGGCACGCGCCTATAATCCTAGCTACTCGGGAGGCTGAGGCAGGAGAATCACTTGAGTCCGGTAGGCGGAGGTTGCAGTGAGCCGAGACTGCACCACTGCACTTCAGCCTGGGTGACAGAGTGAGACTCTGTCTCAAAAAAAAAAAGAAAACAAAAAAGTCCAAGTGAAACTGTCCCCTGCCTGCTGTAGCTTGTGTCATGGCCACAGGGAGCTGAGGTCCAACTCTCCATCCTGACTCCCCTTCTCTGGGAGCCTTTGTCCTCAGTGCCTATCTCTTTATGTCTTTATTCTTTTTAAAAAGGGAATTCACTCTAACAATCTTCTGAGAAGTTGTGGGCCCCACTCTGGGCCAGCTCTGATCCTTGGATGTCTGATAAGTGGTGGGCAAACCTCTCTTGTAAACAGGGGCTAGGAAGGAGTGGGGTGGGATGGGGCCACTAGGCTCGGGAGGTGGGGTCCTCAGGCCCCTCCAGCTCGGGGAGGCCCTGCGCCTTTCAGTGGCTTTCTTTTAGGGTTTTCAGGTCTTGCATGACATCTTTTTTTTTTTTTTTTTTTTTTTAGACAGAGTCTCACTCTGTCACCCAGGCTGGAGTGCAGTGGCTGGATCTCAGCTCACTGCAAGCTCTGCCTCCTGGGTTCAAGTGATTCTCCTGCCTCAGCCTCCCTGACCTCGTGATCCGCCCGTCTCGGCCTCCCAAAGTGCTGGGATTACAGGCTTGAGCCACCACGCCCGGCGCATGACATCTTAAAGCAGCCCCATGGACTGCAAGATAGAGCATGGGCCATTCTATCTAGCCAGTCGCACTGAGGCCTAGCACCTTCTCGGTCCCCATCCCCTCCGTCCAAACCACCGCTCGCCCCTCCACGATGGGTGGGGACTCGGCTAGGCCTGGAGGGCGGCCTGGAGGAGGGAAGCGGCCTGGAGGAGGGAAGCGGCCTGGAGGAGAGAAGCGGCCTGGAGGAGAGAAGCGGCCTGGAGGAGAGAGACGGCCTGCGCGTGCCTCCACGTGCGCCCTCACCCTGGCAAAGCTGAGCTCCTCGGCGGCGTCCTTCAAGATACTCCCAGTCCGCACCCTATCGAGCACCTGCATGGCCACCTCCTGCTCCTCCGGCCACTCTTGCGAGGCCAGATCGAGCCCACTGGCCTGAGAGAAGCGCTGCACGTGCGTGGCAATGCCCTGCATCTGGCTGTCCACGCGCTTCAGCTGCTTGCTCAGGTCCTCCACCTGGCCACCCAGGTCCTTCACTTGGCTCTCCAGTGCTGATGGAGGCACCCGACCCACGCCCCTGCGCTTCTCCCGGGGCGCCCCCTTGGGAGCCTCCTTGGGCGCGGGCAGGTATGGGGTGTTCAGCGAGCTCCGGGCGGACAGCAGCGAGTGGCTGGACTCTGGCGACGGGGCCTGGAAGTCGATCCGGGTATTTTGGAGGTCGAGGTTCTTGAGCATGGCCACGATGAGCGTGTGCAGGGCCGTGAAGTTGACGGCGCCCACCTCCGGGGTGCCGATGGAGAGGTCCGCCAGCTCCCGGAGGGAGACCGTGGTCGCGGGCGGCATCGTGGCTGTCAAGAGCTGTGCGC